TCCCCTATTGCCTGGGGGCCCCATGAGTTGTCAGTCTGCCCCTGTGTGCCACCTTTCTCCCTGATGCACTGAAAACATTTTGGGAGTAAATTAAGGCTTGGTTCACATCTATGCAGTTTCCCAGCAGTCATATTTGCTCATGCACATCAGCCCATTCAGTTGAATGGGCTTCTGTACCCTCTGAAAATGCAGGGAAATAGTTCTTTCACCTTTTCAGAAAACGGGCGCACAGGGAAACCACATAGTGCAGTGTGGTTTCTAGAGCATGGGGGGTAACATTAGGATTAATGGTACTCCCACACGCTCCTAAACCTCATTGGATATTTAGTGCAGGTGCAGGAAGGCATGTGATTACATGCCTTCTTGCAGCCTGCACTAATATGAATTTATTCTTAATGGGCGTATTCAATAACCAGTGCATTCTATACACTGCTCCTAAACTTTTTATAAAGGGACACTTGCAAACAGTCTGTTTAAAAGTTAGGTTCAATCATCCCAGGAATGGAGTGTTCTGTACCTTATGGGTATTTTTTGGATGGCCTTGATATGGTAAATAAACAAGGGAAAAGCACAATGCACCAGTATAGTGTAGAGCACCAATGTAATAAAACTGATTGTAATATATTTATATTAAAAACAATAAAACAACTTATCTGATGTTGGGATGCCAGATGCTTTTAATTCCATGTGGCCAGCGCAGAGCTGTGTGATCTCTGGCCACACTCAGAAGCCAGGATGATGTACTGTATACTGTGTCATTAATTGATAACTAGCATCTGCGATATTCGATCACATACAATTTATACAGACTCCTTCCTCTCTTAAGATTAAAAAAGGTGTTTTTTGAGCATTCTAAAACAGTTTTTTTTAATTCTGTGTGTAATAGACCCTAGAAGCCATTAAACATTCCAATACAAGATGGATTCTGTTGCTCTGAGTACTACATTTTGTTCAGAATCCTTGTTGCTCTTTTCAATTCTGCACTGCCAGATTGGCAACTGATTAATTGCGCTACACTACACAAACACACACATACACACACTAGAATAAATAAATACATATACACACACAGATATATACACATACATTCGCTCAAATACATAAATGCATACCTACATGCAGACACCAACACACAAAATCAGATACATGCATACATATATACACAATGACACACACGCACATCGCACACACACAAATACATGCATGCACTCAGATGCATATATCCATACACTCAGATACATCCATGCAACCAGATGTATACATACATATACTAACATATATACATACAGTACACTCACATACACACACTCAGATATATACATACACAGAGATATATACATACATACTGTACATGCACTCCATTGCACACACTCAGAGACATACATGTGCTCAGATACAAACATATATACACACACTCAAGTATATACATACTCTCAGATACATACATACATAAGTACATACACACACACACACACACACTCAAATATATACATACAATCAGATCAGGGTGGATTTGATTTAAATCAAACTGATTTAAATCACGATTTAAATCACTAGTCAGTAAGGCTTGATTTAAATCATAGTTTCCAACATAAAGACTAATTCTTGCTGGTATAACTTTAATATGCAAGTAGATGAAGATTTTTAGAATAACAACTTTTAATATTAGTTTTTTTATACCCAGTTTAATAGGTTAATCATTCATATTTGGACAACTTTTCTGTTGTACTTAGGAAGGAGAAAAAGAATCATTACCTTAATAATAACAATTTAAATAGATTTATTCAACTGAAACAATAACATTACAGCATATGTTATTTGCTTAAACAAACATCCATGTTTGTTAACTAATTTGGATAAACAAAATATATATATTTTAAGTAACTTAGACTTTCAGCCCCTTCCTCCTCACACTTAGTTTCACTTTCTTCTTGTGCAGATCTATTCCACTCCAAACAATCAGAAAAATATTGTTTCTATTCTATTCACTGAACTTCTTGAAACTTAGCACTGAAGGGGTTGATTCTGTATTCATAGGTTTGTAGGATTAAGTTAGGATTAAGGTCTTTTTCTTAACTCTGTTCACGTTATAACATTTTTGATGTGAAGAAGAGGCATGTGATCTCCGCTGAGTCAAATTCAGTTTTGAGAACTGCAAAAGTAAACCAAGCATCTGTGATAATATCTTGTAGGCAGAGAAACTGCCCAATAATCTTACAAAAACCTCTGGAAGAGCATGACATTGTGAATGGATTAATGGAATTTATTTACCAAAAAAAATTTAATTTATACAGCCTTATTCTACACAATTAAAAAACTAATCTTTATTTCATGATGGAATAACCTTTGGATGGTAATATATTTTTTTTAAAAAGCATTTTATTTAAAAAAATCCGATTTAAATCAAAAAAATCTGATTTAAATCAAAAAAATCTGATTTTGTTGATTTTTTTAAAAAAATCATTGATTTTTATCCACCCCGAATCAGATACATACATTTAGATACATACATACTGTACATATTTAGGGATTGGCTTCCCGCTACTGGCTGTATTTGTAAGTGGCTGTGCTGTGAGTAATGTGTGTAAATCAGAGAGAGAATGAGCCACATGATCTTCCACACACAGGAGTTGTTGCTGATTCTTGTATTTCACTCAGACCAGAAGCAGAGACTATCATGCAAGTATGCTTAAGTTTTAATAATTTAAGGCCCTTTTCACATGGTTGACTCCGCCAAGCAGATCTGTCTGCTCAGAGGGGGATCTGTCTGGTGATCCCTGCAGAGTAGGCGGATGACAGGTCTGTGTCTACTCTGCTTGAGCAGAATGGACACGGACACAGCCCACTGTTCTCTATGGGGCACTCAGCTGTAAACGGAACAGCTATTGTTTTACATCCGAATTTTATCCCATCCGATTGACTAGATGGATCCCCATCTGTTTTTAGCGGATCGGATGCAGTTGGGTGTAAACAGACACATGTTTGTTTACATCCGCCTCCCTATAGAGAACAATGGCTGGTCCGATCGGGTCTGTCTGAAAAACAGACAGGCAGATCTGATCGGTCCACCCATGTGAAAGGGCCCTAAATGAAGCTGCCCATAGCTTCTTGAGTGTGTATCTCAATCCTTGTGACAGACAGAGTATCTCTGTCTTAATTTTATTATGTCATAAGCACAGTGCCAGATTGCTAGGTCTGGATTTCTGTATGTGTGTAATGGTCACCTCCAGTATATTAGTAGGTGAACCTGTTTATTGCAATAGAGTTTATATGCAGCTTCTATTATTTTAGTTACCCTTGTCCCTATAGCTAGTTTTAGCATAGGGCTCAAAATTCAGCATAGGCTAGAGCTAGGTTAGGCATCCGACGGCCATTTCTGGTAGTTAGAGGTTCAGCTGCATGACAGATTGGATGCTGTTAGGAACTAAGCACATAGTAGGTAGGCAGACAACTGCTGGAGATTCTCTTTTTGCAAATCTTGTCTTCAGGTCTCCAACATGAAGATGTCCTCCCCATTGTGATTATCCTCAGGGGCCCCTGCAAATGAACTTTCTTTAGGAGGTCTCTCTATTAATAGCTACAGTATATATGCTGGGGTATACAGTATGTGCACAGTTCCACCAGCACTCTTGTTGGGCCCTTTGCTGATAATACCAGTTTGTGCATTGTATGTACTATTATTAATCTTTTCTTATATAAAGTTTGTCTTATCTCCATACTGGTGTGCATCTACATACTTATGGTTAATGGTAAAATGCTTATTTGAGTAAATTAAAGCAATAAACTGTTCATTGCGTATTGACATGGCACTAATTCTGGTTAAGCAGAGACCAGCTGAAGGGGATTTGGGACCCTGGCGAAAAAACATAGTTAAAATGCCAGCTGTAGTATGACAAACCAATGAAGGATTGTCAGCTTGATACAACAAGCTGCTTAGTATAGCAATGGGCACAGAATAAAACACATTATAATTAGCAGAATGTCCAAGCAGGGCTTCACAGATATTTGTGCATTTCCCGAAATGTTGTGATACATAAAATGGCATGAGTCTTGAAAACAGGTAAGTCAGATCTCAGGATCTCATTTCTACAAAAGTCTTTGAAACAAGTAAGTTTTATTACTGACTCAATACATTTTATAATTCTTATTTCGGCATTGTTTTATCAGTGCTAGTTTAATTTTTAGTGTGACATTTTTGTTTTAAGTAGCAGTGTAACAGAAGGTCAGGTGCACTCAAAAGGCTTATCAGCCATCATGGGCTAAAGATTCATGTGATTCCAAATACCTAAAAGCTATGGCCAACTATACCCAAATGGGACTGTGCTACACAGTCTCTGTGTATGAGGAGCTTACATCACACACCTTAGGTCACTTTAATTTTGTTGCTATGGACAGAATTGATGAGGCTTAAAGTGGTTGTAAAGCAAAAGGTTTTGTTTTTACCCTAATGCATTTTCTGCCTTAAAGTAAAAAATGTTCTGTGATCAGTGCCCCACCCAGCCCCCCTAAATACTCACCTGAGCCAAAGCTGTGCCCAAGAGTAGCAGTGCTAGTCTCTTTCTCCTCACTGGGCATGGAGGCAGCAGTGGGAGCCATTGACTCCTGTCAATCAAATCCCGTGAGCAGAAAGTTGGGGCGGGGCTAAACCACACTGTGCGTGTCAATAGGTGCACACATCCTGACTTAGGATGGAGTCTGCATGAGTACCCCTATGGGGGCATTCTGAGGGGAGGAAGAGCCAGTAGCATCAATGGGGGACCCCAGAAGAGGAACATCTGGCTGTTTTGTGCAAAACCATGGCACAGAGCAGGTAAGTATGACACGTTTATTTAAAAAAAGAAAATTAAACCTTTAGAGTCACTTATTCATCTCCTACAGGTCTTTCTCTTATTGCTCAGTTGTTTCTCCATCAGTATAAGTAGAGATTCTATAGCATTTTAACCAGTAATTGAGTGGTGGTTTTAGGGAAAGAGGCAGTTGTATCCAGGGGCGGACTGACCATTTGGAAACTCTGGCACTGTCTGAGGGCCCGGGGTCAGTAGGGGGCCCCATGAGATACCCCTGGTACCTTTTTCATAGGCTTTTTTTAGTTTGGGCAAGGACACAGGGGCCCCATGATCCCCTATTGCCCGGGGGCCCCATGAGTTGTCAGTTCGCCCCTGGTTGTATCTCAGTGATTCACTGGGGATTCAGGGTTACCAGCGTAAAAAGAAACAATTGTTGGCAGTGGTATTCCTTTTAGCCTACCTGATCCTGTTTGCTATAGATATGTATTTGCATCCTAAAATGTTTTATTAGCAACATGACACTGGAAAAATAAAGTCTGATTCTTTGGTTCCAGTGAACTGTAATAAATATCACCATTACGCAGAAACGTGACATATGTCTACAAGAATAATTGCAGCCTGAAATACTGTATAATTACTACAATAAGGAAATTCAGAATGGGTTTCAGCAATTTGCATAGGCTTTCCCTTGTGTACCTAGGCCACTGCCCAGGTTGTGCAAAAAGATCATGATGCTTAGAAAGAAATACACTTAAGAACGATCCATTGATAAATACAATTTGCAATTTTCTGCTAAGTTTTAGTTCTTCTTCCTTGAATGGGCTGCTGTGCCTGTGTGTCAGGGCTCCCAGGTATGACCAGAGGTGTGTGACTGAAGCAGGGAAACGCAGACTTCAGATATGTGATTAACAATGTAATTTATTAACACTAACAATACAAACATAAACGCAGTGCAATACTAAACATAATACAGTGCAAACAAACCCAACCAACCACCCACAGATAACAGTACATACAAGCAAGCGTCGTCAGGCAGGCCGAGTCAATATCAATTGGGCAGGTAGGTACAGGGGGAGCAAGCGGAGAATGGTCGGGGTCACAGGCCAGGTTCAGCAGGTAGCAAGCAGCGTAGTACAGAGGGTCAGGCAGAGGGATGGTCAGGGTCACAAGCCAGGGATCAGAACAGGTAGCAAGCAGCGTAGTACAGAGGGTCAGGCAGAGGGATGGTCAGGGTCACAAGCCAGGGATCAGAACAGGTAGCAAAGGAACAGAAACAGGATGCAGGACAGATACAGGGCCCAGGACAAACACAACACCAAGACAGAGTCTGCAAGTCTGGCCATCCCTTAAATACACCAGTATCATCAGTTCCAGGTGTTAGCTGGCTGAAAGGTTGTCTCTGATTGCTGGGAGCACCCGCTGGCCAGCCCTGGTACTGCAGATCAAAAGGCAGGTGAGTCCCACCATTGCTGGCCAGTCCATTCCTGACACTGTGTCTCCTAAAAAAAAAGATGCCTGCATGCGCTGCGAGTTGAGATACATGGGGGGTGCCATTAAGATTTACATTTCTGCAAAAAATGTTTCTCTCAGGAATATGGAGCTCCCAAGCCAGGATGCATGATGTTTGAAAATATCAGCTTCTCTGAAGCTTTAAACAAGCGTAATACATACATCATACCTCCCAACTTTTATTATTTTTCATACCTTTTATTTTTGCTCTGCTCTTAGAGTTACCACCTTTTCTTCAAACCGAACCCAAACAGCATGCTTTTTTTTATAAGGGGGAACACTGTGGACTCTGGTACAAAGGGGAACTCTGATGCAAGGGGGCTCCTGCTCACCAAAGCCCCCAATTACATCAGAGTTCCCAGCATTCCCCCTTAATTCATTCCTGTGACATGAAGGCTGCTGTGTGCTGCTTCCCTGCTGAATGTCGAATTTGTACCACCGCCGGCACCTGGCCATGTCTGTCCACTCTGTTCAGATATCCTCCTGTGATCCCCTTGCGATCTCCTGCTCTCCCCTTGCTTGGGACTGCCAATCAATATTGACAGGAAGTCATGTGATGCCTGCTTTTCCTTTTTCTGATTGGTCGACACTGTGAGGGGACGTGGCCAGTTGAGAGGTGACCACGCTAGCCCGCCTTGAGGTGCAGCAGGTGTGTGTGAGGCAGGAGGAGGCTGCAGCCACTCAGAAGACAGGACCCGGCTGGAGGTATGTTAGTGCAATTTGGTCTTTCTCTGCATGAAAATGATCATGATCTTGATCTCTGGGGGAGAGGTTGTGCTAATTTTCACTTTGTATTAATCCACAAACACATGCCCAAAACACATACAAAAATTCAGGATTTTGCCAATCTTGGTCCCTTTTCCTTTATAAATGACCTGTCATTTATAAGTTACCTAATTACTTAAAATGTGTTTTTTAGAATGTGATCCAACATACCTGAACTTTGATTTTTCAGGTAAATCTTCCATTGGTACTAGGTGCAGTATTCAGGGGGTAGGTGCAGTATTCAGGGGGTAGGTGCAGTACTGAGGAGGTGGATGCAGTACGGAGGATATGGGTGAAGTACGGAGAAGGTGGGTACAGTACAGAGGAGGTGGGTGCAGTACAGAGGAGGTGGGTGCAGTATGGAGAAGGTGGGTGCAGTACAGAGGAGGTGGGTGCAGTTCAGAGGATGTAGGTGTAGTATAGAGGATGTAGGTGCAGTACAGAGGAGGAAGGTGCAGTATGGGGCAGGTGGGTGCAGTATGGAGGAGGTAGGTGCAGTACAAAGGAGGTGGGTGCAGTACAAAGGAGGTTAGTGCAGTACGGAGGAGGTGGGTGCAGTATGGAGGAGGTGGGTGCAGTGCAGAGGATGTAGGTGTAGTATAGAGGATGTAGGTGCAATACAGAGGAGGAAGGTGCAGTATGGAGGAGGTGGGTGCAGTATGGAGGAGGTAGGTGGAGTACAAAGGAGGTGGGTGCAGTACAAAGGAGGTGGGTGCAGTACAGAGGAGGTGGGTGCAGTACGGAGGAGGTGGGTGCAGTATGGAGGAGATGGGTGCAGAATCAAAGTACTATGTGCAGTACGGAGAAGGCAGATGCAGTAAGTAGGAATTGGGTGCAGTAGGGAGGAGTTGGGTGTAGTACAGAGGAGGTGGGTGCAGTATCAAGGTACTAGGTGCAGTACGGAGGAGGTAGGTGCAGTATGGAGAGAGGTGGGTGCAGTACAGAGGAGGTGGGTGCAGTACAGAGGAGGTAGGTGCAGTACAGAGGAGGTAGGTGCAGTACACAGAAGGTGGGTACAGTATCAAGTACTAGGTGCAGTACAGAGGAGGCAGGTGCAGTACAGTGGAGGTGGCATAGTTGCCAACTGTCCAGATTTGGCCGGGACAGTTATGAATTTGAAAGTAATGTCCCAACTGGACCGTGTCCAAGGCTGTGTCCCGGAAATGAATGCCAATCATGGGCAGCAGTGCTGTGGATTCCGGGCACACTGTTTGACATTGGGGCACTCAGTTAGGAGCTCACATGTGCTGCCAAGTGCGCAAGATACAGAGAAGATCATAAGATTGCCGGGGACAGAGTTCCCCCTCCCCCTACCTCCTCCCCCAGTAACTCAGGCACTCTCATCGGTGACTCACTTGTACTGAGCATCCGTGAGAGGCAGAGCCTGCGAGAGTTGAGTTTGATTGGGCGGTACTTGGGCAGCCAACCTAGGGGATGATCATGCCTGGCCCACCTTGATGCATTTGAGAGGGCGCAGACTGTGAGAGGAGGACACGTTAAGAACAGGAGAATAGAAAGGAAGTAAAAAGTCCTGTCAGCTCCAGACCTGATTTTTACATTATCTAAGGAGCAGCCTTTCCATCCCTATAAAGCCATTAACACTTCTAGAGCCTGTCTCCATCAATCTTCAGTCATCCAATGGCAGGAAAACAAAATTGGCATTTAATTAATGGGCACAACTTTTTTACCTGGAAACTGCTAAAACAAAAAAAGTCATCTCCATCCTACACACACCTCCATCCAGTCATCTCAATCCTGCACACACCTCCATCCAGTCATCTCAATCCTGCACACACCTCCATCCAGTCATCTCATCTGCACATCCTGCAGTCATCTCAATCCTGCACACACCTCCATCCAGTCATCTCCTTCCAGTACACACACACTCCATGCAGTCATCTCCATCCTGCACATACTTTCATCCAATCATCTCCACCCTGCACACACACCTCCATCCTGCACACACACAGTCATCTCCATCTGTCCTCGTTCTTCACTGTACATTCCTTATTTAACATTACCACATTCTGCATAACGTACGTCATCTCAATCTCTATTTAACCACACCCCCTTTAAGCTACACCCAATATTTAGCGTATTTTAAACCATGCCCACTTTTTGCCGCAGCATGCTCTACACGCCGTATTATTACCACAGCCACAACCATCATATGAACGCCCCACCCCTACTTAGAGAAATGCCCCGCCTACAGAGGCTTTCTCACCACAGAAAAAAAAGTGTCCCTAAAAACCTTTTTCAAATGTTAGCAACATGTAAACACAGGATCGATTGGTACCAATTGCTCACTGTATTTATTAAGGAAAGGAAGGCCCAGTATATAGGACATTTTTACCTGCCCCCTGCTCTACTTCCTGAAACCGATCTCCCTGTGGGCAAGCAGCAGCTGGGAGAGAAGAGGAGGGAAGCCAGAAATGCTGTGGAAAGGGGACAGGGGGGCCCAGACAGCAGGGGAGTCCCAGTCCAGTCTGAATAATGTGTCCGGGTTTCAGACAGTCTGAAACCCATGACTAGTGCACTAGTGATAGGCTAATCAAGACCCCCACCAACACCATTTCACTCTTCCACACCAACCCCCTTTATGCATTACCTTAAATAAAAAAACATAACACCAAATTGGAGTAAAATGGCCAACACGGCCTTTTATTAACACTTCAAATACACAACAAAAATCCTTAAAACAGAAACACCTAATCAGAATTGTTGGTCTTCGAAGGCACCAAAGCCAAACCGAAATCCACCTGCGGAAACCATGTTACACTAGGCCTCCAGCCGCAACACACCGGCTCGGAGACAACCATACATACCATCCGCAGTGTAGAACCACCACCTTCCAGTTAAACCTCGGTTAACTTGAATGCCCCCGGGCACACCATGCCACCGATGGGTCCCAAACCATTATTTTTACCTTCCAAAATCAGTACCACCTCCAAAGACCAACATCCGCACCCGAACCGGAATAACAGCCCCCCCCCGGGAGTGACATAATACCCCACAAAAACAGGGAGGGCAGGAGGGAAGCTCTCTCAAGTCGCAACTTGCAGAGTGACGTCCCTCCCCAAACCGCACCTACATGCCCCAGCTACCAATTAAGAAATATCC